TTGCTTTCATATTCTTATGTAAAGTAATGACGATATGTTTTCACGTGTGCGCACTTACATACGCGATCTCTCTTTTTTTCTTTACCATTATCGTTAGCTACTTCTATTGTTCCACTTATTAACATTAAATAACATTCCTTAAAACAACCATATTAATTTTACTACAGCTACAACCAAGGTTTTATTTTCTTCAGTTTTATATGTAGAACCAGTCAGTCACTGGTTTTGTAATCAACGAAAACAATGCTGTCTCATTTCCTCGTGTTTTAATATTTTACGTATTATTAATGAATTGTATTGCTCATTTTGCACACACAAACATTAATTCAATCAAAAAGACTTTCAGTAATAAACAATAATGAATCTTTTGTACAAAAGAGAAATGACGCTGTTTACACGATTGTGCACGTCGTCTGAACGTTGGTGGGCCATTCAAACCCATCGAAATTCGAGTTTCTGCCGTCAAAATTTTTAAATGTGTTGTTTTTTTGTGTGTTCAAATAGAAAACGTCGAATTAAAAACTCGCGAAATTTGGGAAGCTACTGTACGACATTTAACCCTTCAATATGTCTTCAAAGAGACCATGAAGCAGAGAAAGTGGTGCTAGTGCTTCCAAGCCAAGTCACTATCTATCCAGGAAAAGGGTGAATTTCCATGGGCCGGAAATTTCCATGGTCCGGCACCGGTCAGGTCCCGAGGTTGCCGGACTAGAGAGGTACAACCTGTATTATGTTCATCACACTTCACATCAGTATACGTCCTTCATCAAATAACTACTATTATCATCTTCATTCTTCATAACAACCAATGACCTCCTTACCTCGGTCATTCCTTCTTACCATAACACCCAACACATCAGACTGCACCACCTGTTAGATTATAGCATCACATGGTATATTATAGCACCACATCTCAGGTACACTCCACACCTACAAGTATGGAACTCCTCGGTATTCTTCAGGTACACATACCAAGTACCTCGTTCACACTCTACTCTTGGCTAAGTAGATGGGATACTTCCCAGGAAATTATACCAGTACTGGTTCCATGCCTGGTATTCTTAGGGGACTTTACTTTGTGGCATGGGTTTAGGCTTTGCGATGCTAGTTCTAAGCTTGCAAATGCATTGGCTAGGTTGTTTCATAGTTGATTGTACACTATGTCAACCCATTTTCATACTGACTCATCCTGTTAACATTTTCTCATTAAAGAAGAGTCAAATCAAACTCTATGCAGGGGGTCCTCATTATATGTCAGGGCTGTGTTCCAGAGAAAAGTTTTATAATGACAAATTTTTTCCTATACAGTCAGTTCTGCTATAACGTGATAGTTGTGTTCTTGTAAAACAGGGCTTATGGAGAAAATAGGGTTAGGTGCAGATTACTCGAAATCGAAAAAAATTTCGTAGTTAGCCTAACACAAAGGATAGCACAGTCTAAATAAATGTTACATTCATATCTAATAATGAAATCATACAGTAAATGTTACACTTTACCTTGAAAAAATATGAATATAACTTGATGGGGGAGAAGGTTGATGTTGAGGAGTCATGCAGACAGGATTTGACAGTTGTCATCGTCATCATCAGTATCATCATCATGAGGTGTGGTTTTGGTTGCATGGGAGGGACGAAAAAAACGTCTAATTCCAGAAGTGGATGGCTGTGGTTCAGTGTCTTCAGTCTGCTTCTTGGGGGTTGACTTAAAAAAGACGTCTAATGTTTGCTTCTTTGCTGTCTTTCTTCTTTCACAAAGAAGCTGTTCATAAGGTGCCAAAAAAGATTTAACACCACGAACTGCAATCCTGCTCCTTTTTGCATTGTAGTCATTGTCTTCCAAGATCTGCAACTGCTTATCAACTTCCCTCAGGATAGAAGACAAAACAGAAGTGGGAAGCTCTCGTGGTTTTGCATCCTGGACTTCTTCATCTTCGGCATCTTCTATTTCCCCAGCAGCAACAAGCTGTTGTAGATCTTCTGTAGAGAGGTCTTCACAGTGGGACTCGAGCAGTTCCTCAACATCTGCGCTTTCCACTTCAGCAAAGCCAACTTGCTTTGCAAGAGAAACACAATTTTCTTTAATTTTTGGGAGCTCCTCTGATGCATCAAAGCCTGTAAAATCATGAATTAAATCTGGGAGAAGCTTCCACCAAACTCCACTCAAGCAGTCCTTACTTACTTCACCTCAGGCCTCCACAATGATGTCAATTGCATGCTTGATGTTGAAATTTTTCCAAAACTGAAGAACACTGGCCTTATCATTTTCTTCCTCAGTAGCTTCAATAAGTTTCTTAAATGTACGCCTCAAATAATAGGCTTTGAAGGCTGCTATTACTCCTTGGTCCATTGGTTGAAGGAGAGATGTTGTATTTGGAGGTAGAAAGAGCACTTTGATATTGTCAAAGCTCAGCAATGGTGGGAGAGTGACTTGGCGCATTATCTAAAATGAGGAGAATCATAAAATCTATATTCTTCTTCTTGCAATATTTTTTAAAAGCATTTTCAAAAACATCCACAAGAAGGTCAGAAAAAATTTGTCCCATCATCCAACCTTTTTTGCTTGAACTAAAGTGAATACCTAGAGTAGACTTTATGTAACCCTTTAAAGCTCTTGGGTTGACAGAGTGATACACCAACACATGCTTAAGCTTTAAGTCTCCACTAGCATTTGCACCCAACAACACTGTCACACGGTCCTTCGCAGCCTTAAAGCCTGGAGCATGTGCTTCATTCTTGGAAATGTAAGTTCTTGTTGGCATGCGCTTCCAGTATAAACCTGTTTCATCCAAATTAAAAATTTGGTCTAAGGTGTAGCCTTCTTCCTGAATCAATTTCTTTACAGTGGGAGGAAATGCCCGGGCACTTGCTTCGTCGGCACTTGCTGCTTCACCACATAACTTTACATTATGAAACGCATAGCGGTTCTTAAAACCTGAAAACCATCCACTACTAGCACTAAAGGCAACCACATCAGCAGGATTTTCAGCTTTTTTCTTTAGGTCCTCATATATTGATAAGGCTTTCTCTTTAATGGTGAGGAAGCTGGTCCCAGATCGCTTTTTCGTTTGATCTTCTATCCAAACACTTAGAAGCCATTCCATCTCCTCAAGTTCCTTTGGCCGTGATCTCACACTTTTGCCAGCACTCAAGGTTTTTCCAGCAATACAGCTTGCTTTAATCTTTGCTGCATTGTCTCTAATGGTGCGTAAAGTAGACTCCTTTATTCCCGTTGCACGCACAATATCACATGTTCTTTCCTTATTTTCAAAACGCTTGACAACATCAAGCTTGCCTTCAAGTGTTATAGCCTTTCTTTTACGATCACCACCGGAAATGCGATCACCGGAATGCTTCCCGGAGATATTCTTCTTTTCCATAGTCACAAAATTGGAGAAACAGTAAATCAGAAAGCACTGAGGACGCTTAAAAATTTCTCACGTCTTTCAAAGTGAACGTGTGGAGTAAAGAGAGCGCAGGTCTAAAACGCTACGTATTTTGTTTTTCTCTCTTAGTTAAAATTTTACATTTTACATATACTGTACAGGTATACTGTATACATAAATATTACATAAATTATTTCTGCAATTCTTCACAAACAAAACACATAAATCAATTGAACATGTGATGTCGAACGTGAACTGTAAACACTGCATAACCCCGCACCAAGCCACAATGTACAGTACAGTATTACCCCGCTTAACGCGCTTTCACTTAACGCGTTTTCGCATATACGCGGTGCCTTGCCAAAGCTGAACTTTCACTTAACGCGGATTTTTCCACAGCAACGCGGTGAGTGTCCGGCTCGAGAGCTATTTTTAGATTCGCACCACCCCCCACCGGCCACCCTGCCTGACTGCCTGTTTTAGCTCATAAAATTCATACAAATTACCCAGCCAGAATATAGTTTACATTGCTGGAATTCTTATAATTTGGTGATCATTTTGAATATAAACAACATATTTTTTGCATTAAACATACAATTTTTAGATAAAATGTTTAATCTGAGTAAGTATGTTATCTTTTGTCCAAAAAATATGACATTTATATTCAAAATATTCCTGGTCTTACAAGGAATCCAGCAATGTCAATTATATTATCCTAACTTCAGTTTGAGGTATTATTTATTAAAATTTAGTGGTTATCCCACACATCTCCTTGGGACAGTTGGTGGGGGGGAGGGAGGGACCAACCGACCGACCATCTGTTACCCGGTGAAGAATTATTTTTTTTTAACTGAAGATATTTGTTTTAGCTCATAAAATTCATACAAATTACCCGGTCAGAATATAATTTACATTGCTGGAATTCTTATAATTTGGTGATCATTTTGAATATAAACAACATATTTTTTGCATTAAACATACAATTTTAGATAAAATGTTTAATCTGAGTAAGTATGTTATCTTTTGTCCAAAATATATGACATTTATATTCAAAATATTCCTGGTCTTACAAGGAATCCAGCAATGTCAATTATATTATCCTAACTTTAATCTGAGGTATTATTTAATACTAAATGTTAAAAACTCTTGAATGGAGGATTGGTGGGGGGTGGGGGGAGGGTTGGGACTGACCACGCGGTTGGAAGAGGGGGGGAAGGCAAGGTGGGGTACTTTGATTGACAGATAGTGTTGAAGAATATATTTTTTTTTTATTAACTGTAGATATTTGTTTTAGCTCATAAAATTCATACAAATTATCCGGCCAGAATATAATTTACATTGCTGGAATTCTTATAATTTGGTGATCATTTTGAATATAAACAACATATTTTTTGCATTAAACATACAATTTTTAGATAAAATGTTTAATCTGTGTAAGTATGTTATCTTTTGTGAAAAATATATGACATTTATATTCAAAATATTCCTGGTCTTACAAGGAATCCAGCAATGTCAATTATATTTTCCTAACTTTAGTTTGAGGTTATCCCACACATCTCCTTGGGACGGTTGGTGGGGGGTGGGGGGGAGGGAGGGACCGACCGACCATCTGTTAGCTGGCTGTGTACTGTAGTGTGAGAGGGGGAGGGAGTTGAGTCCATTATTTGAATGGACATTAACTTGGCGACTGTATTTCTCTTAAGTATTAATTGTGTGCATGTACCATCATAAAATTAAGATGTTATTTTTACTACAACATAGTTATTTGTCGTCAAAAAGTGGAGTTTGGGGGTCGGGCTGGGTTCTATTGGAATTAATCCCATATGTTCTGTTATTCACTTAACGCGGTTTTCACTTAACGCGGGACCCTCTGGGTTCAATTGACCGCGTTAAGTGGGGTACCACTGTATGTAAATTGTAATTTACAAATTATTCATATTAAGCTACAGCGCCCACAAAACATGAGAAACGTTTGAGTCCCCCAGTAGAGATGTCCGTTCTCTACCCACTTCAGGATGTCTTAGTCCTCCGTTTTCTTTTTGTGTACTCTCTCAGGGACTCAAGTATTTCTGTATATATCACAGGATGAAAAGGGAATTTGAAATTATGAGTGACTGAATTTATTATTCAGTGATCAGTTAACATAGTTTTGATGTGTTTAAGTAGTATTCCGGCGCCTTCAGCCTAGTAATGTTAGGACATTCGTATCACTCACTCTAAACCACGAATTCCATCCATACAGAGAGAGAGAGAGAGAGAGAGAGAGAGAGAGAGAGAGAGAGAGAGAGAGAGAGAGAGAGAGAGAGAGAGAGGCGCTTTGTTTACATCACACACACATAAATATTACATATATTATTTCTGCAATTCTTCACAAACAAAACACATAAATCAATTGAACATGTGATGTCGAACGTGAACTGTAAACACTGTGTGTGATGTAAACAGAGTGTGGGTGTAAAATGCTATGTAATTTGTTTTTCTCTTTTATTTAAAATTTTACAATTTACATATACAGTAATACCCCGCTTAACACGGTTTCGCTTAGCGCGATTTCACGTATACGCGGTGCCTCGCCAAAGCTGAACTTTCACTTAACATGGGTTTTTTCCACGTATACGCGGCGCAGAGTGTCCGGCTCAAGAGCTATTTTTAGATTCGCCCCACCCGCCACCCTGCCTGCCAGTTTTAGCTCATAAAATTCATACAAATTACCCGGCCAGAATATAATTTACATTGCTGGAATTCTTACAATATGATGATCATTTTGAATATAAACATCATAGATTTTGCATTAGACATACAAATTTTAGAGATAATGTTTACTCTGAGTAAATATGTTATTTTTTGTGCAAAATATATGACATTTGTATTCAAAATATTTCTGGTCTTACAAGGAATCCAGCAATGTCAATTATATTATCCTAACTTTAGTTTGAGGTATTATTTATTACTAAAAAGGTAAATATTCTGGTTTTCCCACACATCTGGTAGGGAGGGTTGGTGGGAGGTGGGGGGGAGGGAGGGACCGCCCGACCATCTGTTACCATGTGAAGAATATTTTTTTTTTTATTAACTGAAGATATTTGTTTTAGCTCATAAAATTCATACAAATTACCCGGTCAGAATATAATTTACATTGCTGGAATTCTTATAATTTGATGATCATTTTGAATATAAACATCATAGATTTTGCATTAGACATACAAATTTTAGATGTAATGTTTACTCTGAGTAAATATGTTATCTTTTGTGCAAAATATATGACATTTATATTCCAAATATTCCTTGGCTTACAAGGAATCCAGCAATGTCAATTATATTATCCTAACTTTAATTTGAGGTATTATTTAATACTAAATGTTAAAATTTAGTTTTTTCACCCAACATCTCTTGAAGGGAGGATTGGTGGGGGGTGGGGGGGGAGGGTTGGGACGGACCGCGCGGTTGGAAGAGGGGGGGAGGCAAGGTTGGGTACTTTGATTGACAGATAGTGTTGTGAAGAATATTTTTTTTTTTATTAACTGAAGATATTTGTTTTAGCTCATAAAATTCATACAAATTACCCGGCCAGAATATAATTTACATTGCTGGATTTCTTACAATTTGGTGATCATTTTGAATATAAACATCATAGATTTTGCATTAGACATACAAATTTTAGATATAATGTTTACTCTGAGTAAATATGTTATCTTTTGTGCAAAATATATGACATTTATATTCAAAATATTCCTGGTCTTACAAGGAATCCAGCAATGTCAATTGTATTATCCTAACTTTAGTTTGAGGTATTATTTATTAAAATTTAGTGGTTTTCCCCCAAAAATTTCTCAGAGAGGGAAGAGCCAGCAGTGTAGTGTGAGAAGAGGGGGAGGGAGTGGAGTCCATTATTTGAATGGACATTAACTTGACAACTGTATTTCTCTATTTCTCTTAAGTATTAATTGTGTGCATGTACCATCATAAACTTAAGATGTTATTTTTACTAGAACATAGGTATTGTGTCGGAAAAAGTGGAGTTTGGGGGTCGGGCCAGTTTCTATTGGAATTAATCCCATATGTTCTGTTGTTCATTTAGCACGGTTTTCACTTAACACGGTACCCTGTGGGTTTTATTGACCGCGTTAAGCGGGGTACTACTGTACTGTACAGGTATACTGTATACATAAATATTGCATAAATTATTTCTGCAATTCTTCACAAACAAAACACATAACTCAATTGAACATGTGACGTCAAACGTGAACTGTAAACACTGCATAACCCCGCCCCAAGCCACAACAACCGTTCGAGTGGGATCGTGTTAGAGCAAACGCGTTCGCGTTTTGCAAATATTGTTCCTCTATTCATCAATCGCGTTAGAGCCAATTCGCATTGTCAAAACACGTTTTATAGCAGAACTCGCTGTTTGAACTAATGTAATTAGCGGTATATGCATTCCAACATGTACTGTACAGTAATAACCCTTGAAAGCTCAGTAAATCAGCTTAGCATACTGTACAGTAGCTAAAAAAGTATCTGTGCATACTCTGTATGAAACAATATGAGT